CGCTATCAATCTGCATAGCTACCTCAATCCAATTACTTGTCTGTCCACTTCTTAGCTGAGGCTGAATCATGTATTTAGAACGGCTGCTGTCAATGACTGAATACATACAGTAAACTTCATCATCAGTGATTGCTGGCTCGGCCTCTTCAATTCGATGAATACTCCTCGTAGGTTTCTTGGAAATGCTCTTCACAGGTTTCTGTGTTTTCCTTTGAGATTCTTGATCTCGACTTCTGCACATCTTAGCAAAATGGTTCTTCATGTTACACTTGCTGCATTTTTCCATAAGCCCGATACTGGCGCAAGTTGTGGTTCGTTTCACAAAATTTACATTGTTCACCGTTTCTACTCGTCGTGTAAAATCTGGTTTCTTTCCTTTGTACTTGACAGCGTGTACTGAAGTTTCTATTTCTCTATCAATCTTTTCCAGTTGATCGCTGGCTGTTTCTGCAGCTCTAATTATGTCTAAGGTTGTATTGAGAGTAAGAGCCTTCTCACGGAGTAGTCGTTTTCTGACTTCATGGCTTTTGATTACCATGACCAGTCTGTCCCGAATCAGTTCGTCACACAGAGCGCCCTAAGCACAGGTTGACGCTAGCTTTCGAAGTCTGCTCAGGTATTGATCGATGTTTTCGTTTTCTTGGTTGGCATTGTTGAACAGGTAACGCTCAAAAATAATATTCCTCTGTGGTTCAAAATGCTGCGTCAGGGCCTGCAAGAAACTATCAGGATCTGTGCGATCAGTTACAGGCAGATTTTTAGCTATTTGGTAAGTTTCTCTTCCCAGAACTATCTTAAGAGTTTCCAAAAGGACTGGTTTGGGTCTCTTATCAAGTTCAGTTGCTATCTTATAGCTCTCCCAACTCTCTCTTGAGACTCATTGGAGGTGGCGTTGGTAACTGACTGTACATCATCATCTGTGTAGGTGGCACAATAGGTTGTGCTAGAGGTGCTTCTGGAGGATTCTCTTGCACCGGAGGGTCCTCTTGATCGTCCATCCTGTTAATTCTTTTGTTGTCCTCGTGAGACGTTCGCTAAATGTATGCTAGGCTCTGGCCTTTCCCAGAAATGCAGTTTCCTCAATCTGTGAACCTCGAAATTCACTTCAAATTTCACAAGTGGCAGTGCTAAGGCTTCCGGTCTGTCCAATAACACCGCTGGATTCTTTTAGCGCCCGTGATTAATTCTTCTGTCTTCGCTTGGATCGACGAAATTTATCTTCAATTTTGTAATCCCACTTCTGACACCATGAAGTGTGGACGTCTTGTATTTTGCAGCATACACCTTTATTGATATCTGACGGGCTATACCAGCAAGTAAACTACTCTCTACATCTAGTTACAAGCTCGGCTTTTATAGGTACGGTTGAGGATCTAGAACGTTCTGTAACATTACAACAGATTCTATTTATATCTTGATTCAGGGATGACTCAGCATGACACAGCTACTTCTAAAACATTCTTGAAGGTCACACTACAGATACTGTATATGCTGAAGTATATAAAGCTGAAGAAAAAGAAGATAGAAAAAGAAAAAGCTGGGTCAACAATGCTAAGGATTCGAACCTTAGACCTTGAAACTTCGCCATCAGCCTTACCAGCTGCACAGGGGACGAATAAATGTGGGTCGATATCAGTTCGTGAGGATTCAAACCTCATTTTACACAACATCGCTACAAAATGGTCTTCCAACACGTTAGAAAGACAAATTTCTCTCGTGAAGATTCAAACCTCAGATTTTGCAATATCGATATTAAATGCTCTACCTGCTGAGCTGAGAAAAAAATGTGGGTCGACCTTTGTAAGAATTTGCAAGTTAACAGTGTGAAATGAAAAGTTCTGGTCGATTTTTCATAAGGATTCTAACCTCAGATCCACCGATTTTGCTGTCAAAAAACATTCATGCTGAAGTTAATAAAAGCTGTGCACAAATAGAGGAAGAAAAAAAGAAAGGTGGGTCAACAATCATAAGGATTCGAACCTTAGACCTTGAAACTTCGCCATCTGCCTTACCGGCTGGGCAGAGGAAGAAGAAATCTGGGTCGACCTCAGTTCGTGAGGATTCAAACCTCACTGAATTCAACATCTCTTTTCGACAGGGAAGATAACAAGGAAGCAGTTAAAGAATCAATCATGCGTTCGTTGACAGGGGAGCAGTTTAAAAGTTTTGGTGTCAATTTATCATGTGTTGGGCAACAAGGAAGCAGTTTAAAAGTTATTGTGTCAATGCATTTTAGAAGCCGTGGTGTCAATGCATCATGTGTTTGACAACAAGGAAGCAGTTTAAAAGTTTTGGTGTCAATGCATCATGTGTTTGTCGACAGGGAAGCAGTTTAAAAGTTGTGGTGTCAATGCATCATGTTTTTGTTAACAAGAAAGCAGTTTAAAAGTTATGGTGTCAATGCATCATGTGTTTTACGACAGGGAAGCATTTTAAAAGCTGTGGTGTCAATGTATCATATGTTTGGCAACAGGGAAGCATTTTAAAAGTTGTGTTATCAATACATCATGATTTTGGCAACAAGGAAGCAGTTTTAAAATTTGTGGTGTCAACGCTTTAAGTATTTGTTGACAAGGAAGCAGTTTAAGAGTTGTGGTGTCAATGCATCATGTGTTTTACAACAGGGAAGCATTTTAAAAGCTTTAGTGTCAATGCATCATATGTTTGGCAACAAGGAAGCATTTTTAAAGTTGTGTTGTCGATGCATCATGTTTTTGGCAACAAGGAAGCAGTTTAAAAGTTGTGGTGTCAATGCTTTGAGTGTTGGTCGACAAGGAAACAGTTCAAGAATTTTGGTGTCAATGCACCATGTGTTTGTCGATAGGGAAGCATTTTAAAGGCTGTGATGTCAATGCATTGTGTTTTCGACAACAAGGAAGCAGTTTAAAAGCTGTAGTGTAAACGGATCGCGTGTTTGGCAACAAGGAAGCAGTTTAAAATTTCTGGTGTCTATTCATCTTGCTGTTATCAGCAAATAAGCAGTTTAATCGTTGCAGTTTTGTGTATGATCTGATAATCAAGAAGGAAGCAGTCTCTAAAGCCTCAGTGTTTTAATATGTATTATTTACATAGTAAAATTGTAAGTAATAAAATATGTAAATTTGCCTAGAAAAATAAAGGAAAAATAAATCAATCTTTAACTTATAAATAAAAAAGTAGTAAATAAATCAAACATGCAAAAAAACATAAAAAACTCAACCTTGATCCACCCCCTGTAATACTTCCCATGAGTACCTGCCTCTTATAAATTTACTTTATTGACTTTATTTTGAGTTTCAAGTTCTCATGATGCTTTAAGCAGTAGATGCTTCGACGGAATAATGAAAAAATTTATTATTGGTTTGTTTTATCAGCTCACAAATCGATACCGCAACAGTAATTCTGATCTCTTGTTTTAAAATCTATATCTCAGACATTCTCTTTCGGTGTTCGGAGTTTTATTTCCGATTATCAGCGTTTCATTTTTCCGACTTTCAGCTTCGGACTCTTACATTGTTCTCCGACATTCGATTTCGGAGTCCCGACCATTAATATATATAATTTTCTGACTTCCGGCTTCATAATTTCGACTTCAACTTATCTGCATCGTAATCTCTGACTGAGAACTTTCGAATTCCGTATTTTTGCTACATGTAGACAGTCGACTCTAATGCTCGATCTTTTTTTCCGATTTCGACTCTGAAGTGCCATTTTTAACGTCCGCTAAGTTCGAATGTCTAACTTTCTTATTATAGTTTATAGAGTCAGGAATATAAAATAAAAACATGAGGGCATTCCAGTCATTAAATAAGAGAGAACAGCACTAAGATTTGACTTGGATTTAACCCTTAAACTAATAGTTATTATAACTTCTAATTTCTCCTCACAGCACTACCCTTGAATTAAAAATTTAAGGCAAGAGAATAAAAGAAATGATCTACAAGTTAAAGAGCTATATTGAAATATTTTGTTAGTCGGTACCATATGGGATGCACTGCGAACACTATATAGAATATGCAGTGATGTTGGGATGTCAAGAGTTAAATAAATAAGCCAACAGTTCGTAAACAGCATAGGAAAAACAGAGTTTTGAGGGTTTTTTCTTCTTTCTTTTTTTTAAAGAATAATAAAATAACACTATGTTAGCGTATCGAGTGGTTGGTTGTTCGTCCTAAAAAGCATAGTATTAGGATATGTATCTCGCACCATCAGATCTCTCTTGCCGATCATGTCATGGAATTAGGGAGGGTGCCGCAAAATATTGCAACGGAAGCAACTAAACATTGACACACTAGGAATTGACAAACAATTGTTAAAATAAAGGCCTCGTCGCTATAATCTTTGGGGGCTGGAAAGTTCGGCAGGAAAAGTTTAACCATTTAGAGGTTAAAAATTCTTTTGTGTAACCCTCACTTACAAATCACACGCCGTCAAAAAAGCTTAACTTGTGCGTTTGTTTTGGAAGGGCTAGTTTTGAGATTAGACTTGTGCAAAGCATTTGCATAAATCAGATTGATCGATATTCTTGCTTCCGCCTCGTGTTTGCTCTTTTGTCGAAGGTTGAAAAGATCAGAAGCTGTATTTTCTTTTGCTTCTACTACCATTTCAAAAGTCCGTTTCTTTGCTTTCAAGGGAAAACGATCAATGAAATAATCTAAGATTCAATTTTCACAGCAGTTGCCGTGACATTGAAAATTACTTCACCATGGCCTCTCGCCCGTGCGTAGAAGAATCAAGTAAATGTGGGTGAAAGAGAAAACTTTGATACTTAGTATTGAAGAAAAATACTAAATTTGCCTAAAGCAACCCTTGAACGTGTAGCAACAAAAGCCAAAACATAACTTGGCAGCTTCAATACTCAATCGGAACATCGAGCGCTCGCTCGGCGGAAAATACGCCTGCCACTCGGGCTAATACGCTTTTCAGGCTGAGATAGAAGTTATTTGATTTCTGGAGCACAAATCTATAGATAAACAGATTCAAGAACCTTTTGAAGTGAAACATAGGCCAATTTTATTTGTCAGTTTTTTTGCTGAGTTTTGATACGTTTAAAGTCAAGTGATCTATTTCAATAATATATACACGCGGCACATCACTCGTCTCACAACTAGCGTATATATTTAAGTTTCCTGTTGGACGTAGATGACAAAAACATACGAGTTGTTGTGAACGATTTCATTCTTAATGCAAGTCCACGTTATATTAGAATTCATAAACAAATACAAACCAACCCTGTCGCCCCCGTATTAATTTGTTATTTTAATTCTTTAACTCCAATATCGGGACTTCTGATCCGTCTTCCCTTTTAAACGTCTAATTTCGTTGAAAGTAGCTTGGAGATTTTATGTTAAACTAAGACGCCCTTCGCATTAATATATTTGTCTATTATCAGTACCATTTGGTTGGATAATGCATTGACACTATACGAAGGAGTTACGTAAACACTATATAACGATTACCTCTTACAGTTAGAAAAACGAGAACTGAATCACAGATTACGAAGAGGTGAGTCGACCTGGTTTGAACTGTTCGAATTTCGGCAAAATGCGATCTTCATAATACCTTGTCTTAATTCTGGCAGTCGCATGGCGTAGATTATAGGATTTATCAGCGAGTTGGCGAGGTATAACACCAATACACCGCTGTACATGTGAAAGGCTAGTCGTTGGTTGAGCTTTTTAAGTAACTGGGGATTAAAACTGTTTAGGCTTCGCCCAATTATCAATGGAAACCAAGTCAGTATGGAGGCAAGAGTCACCATAAATAACGTACTCGTTAATTTCCTTTCCCTCACACTTGCTGCACCCTGATTTGGCAAACGATAACCAAAACGTACTTTGTTAAAAATCGAGATGTAAGAAACGGAAATTACAAAAAGAAGAACAGAAAAAAACGAAAAATACATTGTGTGGCGGCCTTTAGTGCCTATATCTTTTCCCACCAGCGCAGCAGTCGCCGACATCAACCAAGTTACGGTAACTATAACTCCATAGACCCATTTCTTAACGGCATGATACTTGAAAGGAAAAAACGTTGCATGTGCCCGCTCTAATGAAATAACAGCGAGATTCAAAAGCGATAAATAAGGGAGAGACTGCCCCAATGCTATCGTTAGATAAGAGTACTTCTCAGACCAGACTGCCCTCTCCCACAGGTTACAAGTAGCCCCAACCCGTTGAATAAACGTAGGACCTGCCACTGCCCCTACTAGGAGATCGACGATCGCCAGGTGGATGATCAGGCATGTACCCCTGCGCTGCAGGTGGTGCTTCTTCAAGAGTACAGCAGTACTAACGGTATTTAGGATGACTATAGCCAAGCATTCCGTGATGAGCAGGACGAGCCACGGAATACACTCGGATGGGAGATACGACATCCATTTCTCGTCGCTTGTGTTATTACGAGTACTTTCTACGGTGCTGTTAGCCATTGTGTTCTTGTCTGTGTTGGTAACCCACTGCGTGAACTAGATAAGGGAGGAGGACAAAAATAAATAATTAAGAAAGAGAGTTACTTATTCAAGTGTTGTGAGTTGAACAAAATAATTTGAAATGTTTCTGTGTTATATTACGTACCTTTAGGTAACAGAATATCCAACTGGTTGAACAGAATCAAACAATTCAGCTAGCAAAGTATAGCGGAAAAAGCTAAATGACAGTCGGTCAACCTGCCAATAATGACTCAATTCGTTAAGTGTATTGAAATTATAAGATCGCACAAAGCCAAGTCAACTCGTCGTTAACACAATTTCTTCTTACCTCTCTCGGGAGAGCATGAAAATCAGCTCTCAGTATTTAAATTCCTTTGTATACAAAAGCAACCCGATCATAATGTATGCTTGAGAAAAGACACGACACTTTGTTGACGCAGACGGTCAAGAAGGCTGAATATCCTTTCAGGTCTTTTAATAACAACTCTCAATAGGTCAGAAATCTAACCACAATCCACAAGTAGTTACAAGAAGTCATCCGCCAAATGTTGGTTTATCAACCGGCCGGTGCTGTTTCCTGTGTGTGCCACATCTTATCATCATTGGACAATTTCGCTTGCATTAGGTGGCCTCCGTCTTTTCCCAAATTCACCTTCAATAATTTGTTAAGTTCATTTGTTTGCAGGAATAGAAATGTGATAGACTTAACTTCCAATGCTTAACTTTCAAACGATGCTCCCATGCAAATCAAGGTCATTACTCACGTAAGTTTAAGAAAATGCAGGTACGTGAAGACACAGGGCGAATATAAGGCATGATATATTAATTTCAGCTCTTTATATCGCCATTATTATTTCCAGATACAACATATCAGGGAAAGTGACACAAGGGTGTCATCAAAAGCTATTATCGATAAATATGCAATTGGTTAATACTCGTTGAGTAATCAAGTAGTGACCGATTACGAAATATTTTGTCAATGCATTCAATCCTCTTTGAAATCCCCTTCTTTTACAAAAAGCAGAAGAACAGATAGTTAGGTGAGTTGGAATCTTTATCCATTTAACAATAAAGAATCCCCCAATATGAAATTTGATTACAAATTTTTGTGTTGCACTTTGGACATAAATATCAGTTATGTAACTCAAAGATTTATTTTCATCTCCAAATTTCATCCCAGACGTGACTTATCCAAGGTCGGTAACATCAGAGGGTTAAACTTATGGATAATGTATGAAAAGTCAATATTAAGAAAAATATGAACAGATTTTTGTCCGCGGAGATTAATTATCATTTGTTCCGAGAGGTGAACTGTCCTCCAAGAGCGAAGTTCGAGCAAAAAGTGTAAGCTTCGAGGAACATATCATTCTCAAGGAAAAGTACACGAGTATAGGAAAGTTTTGCGCCAACTGGAGGTTATTGTGCTTATTATCCTTTCAATATTTTGCACGGGCGTGAAACAATTTTTACGAACAGTTTATCGTGGATTTGCTGCGTGAGATGTTTCAGTGTTTTCTGTTACGTCTTAATGAACGAAAATAGATGCCTTATCTTCTGTAACAACCAAAAGACGCCCCCTCATCTTGAATTAAGTTTTAAACGAGGACCTGTGGTAGTGGATGTAAGGTTTGAAAATTGGGAGATGACACTTAATCAGGGTATATATCTTCGGATATTCGCCAGCTTATTTATTTATTTTCTTTTTAGTTTCAGAACAAGATGCGTAGAAAAATTTTATTATTTAATGTTTTCATTCGAAGCCGTAACATATTTTTCTCATATTTCTGTAGTTTGTTAGTTTATGTCAACACATATTCACCAAAATGTCATATTTCGACTCAGTTTGCCTGATGTTACTGAGTTCCCCTTTCATAGTCCATTTCCATGCATAACTATCCCAGATAAGCGAAAAAAGGCGAACACAGAAACTGTGGGCCTCGGCTTCGTTGTTTAAAGTCCATGCTAGGAACTCTGCCTACGTTAAGTTTTTAGGAAGACTGCACGCTCAAAATGTGTCGTTTTTTGGTTTGCTCAGCCAGATCAAAGTCTCAGCAATCAATGCATAGTAACGACGGACTAAAACTGACGAAAGCAATTTAACGGCCTCCAGTTTTTTCTAGCACTCAATCTTATCAAATTAAATGTTACTTGAATTCTGGCAGTTTTGGCAAACAAAGGTCAACTAACTAGTTTTTTTACCCTGTGATAATCCTTTCTACAACTCGCTTTACTGGAATGTCGCGTCGTGATTTGGAAATATTCATGAGCGTATTTCCTACAGGACTTTTATGAACTGGCAGTTGGGATATATATCCTTATTGTCCTTGCAAAATAAAATAAATCGCAAGAATAGATATTCAGGAAAGACCTTTTTCAATTTTTACCCCGTTCTGACGAGAAATCGCTGAGTTGGCAGATCGTGATAGATTAAATCTGATTCCACGGAATTTCTTCGAAAAGGTTACTCGCGGCTAAATTGCATACTGTGTGGGGTTGTACTCGAGACGTTTTTGGTGAGTTTTATAGTGTAAGGGTTATAAAATGGTAATCGAAACAGAGCTAACGTAATGGTATATCGCTCGGCTTTGAACAGTTTGAAGTTCGGCGGAAGTTGATTTCCATGACATTTCGCCTTGTTCTGGTACCTGCATGGCATAGATAATAGGATTTATGAGCGAGGTGACCACGAATAATACTACTACTGTTCTTCCAATACGTAATGATAGCCGCCAAATAATATCGTTGGCGAACTGGGGATGAAACATGAAAACACCTAGTTGTATCGTCAATGGAAACTAAGCAGTTAAAGATCCAATTATCACAGTAAATAACGTAATCGTCAATTTTCTTTCCCTCGTCCCTGCTGCGCTATTGGAACGCATTTGACGATTAGAGCCGACTTTGATAAAAACGGAAATGTAAGAAACAATAGTCATAAAAAATAGAATGAAAGACGAAGAAAAAAAGCATAATATAGTGGACAATGATAGTGACCGGGAAACATCGACTTCCTGCTACCCCGGCTAATTTAATAAACCAAATGAAATGATTATAACTCCATAAACCTATTTCTTAATGAGGCATTGCTTGAATGAACAAATTGTGGTATGTGCCCTTTCAAGTGAAATTGCTGTGAGGTTTACAAGCGAAGCATTAGGGAAGACAGCCCTTAACACCACTGATGGTAGATGGATTTTCTGAGTGTATTCCCACAAATCACAGACACTCCCTACCCAAAGAATATCCAAAGGGCCTGAAACTGCCCCAGCCAAGAGGTCAATTATCGCCAGATGGATAACCAAATGTGTACTCCGACGCTGAAGCTGGCGCTGTTTCACAAATTCAATAACGGCGATCAAATTAAGGAAGTTTATGGCTAGATAATCAGTGATGAACACGACGAGCTAAGGGATATATTTTGATTCTGAAGGTATTAGCTCCTCCCTCGTGTTTGTCCGGATACTATTGACAGTGTTGCCAGCCATTGGGATCTCGTCCGCCATTGTGCTGGACGAGATGTCTTGGATATCTTTTGCAATTAAAATCGTGATCTTAAACAAAACGTTTTGAGATTTTCTTCAGGATATTATCCTCACCATAGCTTTTCTCTTAGTTTTTACAAGACATTGAGCAAGACCAAACAGAAAACGTATTTTAAATGATAAAAGATAGTCAATTTACTCAGCTGCAAAACTTTTAATGGCGGCAACAGGATTTCAATCCAACCAGAATCGGTTTAATCACTGAAGTAAGAAGGTCATGTTGTTTAGTGCACACCCAACTAATGACTTAATTATTTTATTTGAGTGGTTACTTCCAGTCTACTTCAAATATCTTAATATGGAAAACCCAAATTAATATACAGCACGCCGATAAAATAGCTTAAGAAGTTTATGACGTAAGTATTTAAAAGATCGAAGTCACGAGGTAAGAGGCTCAATATTCTCAGAAAAAGCCGCAAGGAGTAGTTTTGAGTCACAAAGTGTCGGTAATTCCTGGATCTAGCTCGATATTTACGCTCTGCTGATGCGCCACAAAGTCCGGCAGTGATTGAAGCGAGCTCTAAATGTAACTGATTAGCCTTCCCTTTTCCGAGCAAGTCTTGCCTACCTTTCTAAAAATTCTTACATAACAGACGTCTTGCTTACATTTTTTTACAATATAGGCAGCAACAAAGGTCGAGCATAAATGACGCGCGTCTAGATTATACATTTGTTTTTTATCAACACAATTATCCTCATATCGAGTCACTCGCGTTAACATTGAGTAACATAAGTTCGTTACGTCACCAAAGCCACGCGACGTTTTGTGTCAGTGAACTCTACCATGCAGGCGAAGGTGAACAGTGGAAATCCGCAGACGCACGCAGTTTTTTTCCTGCTCCGTAGATGCGACGTTATTTTCTTTCATTACATAATTTGCGGCGGAAAATCCCTAATTAATAACACACGTGTAAAAATAAGATATTTTTCAAGTGTGTTTGACATCGCCAATCAGCTGTTGAAACGTCACACATTTCTTGCCACTCTGTCAGGTTGATGAATGTATGGTCAAGCCTTTAACATTCTTAAAACAAGGTCGTTTGCGATACGTACATCTAGAGTTTTAGCGAGTACTGCGTGGGCGCGGGTAGATATGGAATTTCTCTTCTCGTGTTCAATTCGGAGGACAAATATCGAAGTACACGGGGGTTATGCAAAATGACTGTCCTGTGATTTTGCACCACGCGACACAAAGTGACCAATATTATTGCGCGAATATTAATCTCTCTCAACGTTTAAATCAAAGCGTAACATTGAACGGGGAAAGAAGAAGGGACAGTAAATATTTCAGGAATAAATTTATTTTAAGTTGTTCCAGAATATTGCGAATTCAGAGAGTAATGGAATATATATCAATTTCGGTTAAGTTATTCACGGATAGCCTCTGGAACGAAAGTCTGTTTCCCAAAACGACCACATGAAGGCTAACATCTATGTAATATTTTGGGTCAAAGCAAATGGCAAATAGAGATTTACATGCATTTTTGGGTGCGTAAAGATGACGAAGTAGTTGAACTGCATTTATTTTTCCGCAGCTCTGAGTAAACAAACTTCTTTTTCCAACTCGAACATACAACTAAGATTGTTGAAATCGACAAATCCCAGAAAACGCACCTATTGTTTTTTCTTTCTCCCAATTGGTTTCGTTTTATTCTACTGGAATAATTCCACTTTTACGCTTTGTCAAAATGATCTCTAATGCAATCAAAATATCCTTTAATACCCTGAAATGCCATTACCTAGACAGCATGGAGAGGGAAAAAACATGGCATTTATGTAAACTAACATCCACCCACGAAGCAGGTAGTACACAGTCTAGTAGGGTAATAATCTTCGTTGGAAGTTATGGAACTTCCCAGAAACTGAAAAGTTATTTGTTTATATGACAATGGAAAAAAATGATAAGAGTAGATAATGGAGAGGAAAGTTTTGAGGTTTGATCTTCATTTTTTAGGTATTTAGTTTTTCGTCAACACGTCCGCGTTCGTGACTAGAATAAATTGCTAAGCTTTGAACTGGTGTGTTTAATTATCAATTAATAAAGGCATCATGACAATTATTCCGAGTCCATTTGCAAGATAACTGGTTTCCTTAGGAAGAAAGAAATTGGTTCGCTAAAATTAATTTTTCTAGCGTAGAAAAAGCAGCCTGTGTTACAAATATGTGTAAGTTTATGGGTAAATCGTCTTTAAACTAGAAAGAATTTATTTTTTAACTTCGTTCTACCCAGCAAGGCCATCGATAAAGTGAAGTCTTTCACCCACCGAAATGTCATCTTTTATATTTATTTGAACAACGTCTCAAATAAAAATGGTCACGTTTCCATAAGTTATTTAACAACATTGCATGGTCGAAAAGTTCCGCTGAACCGGCGCTTTATATTTTTTTTGTCAAGAGCGTCTTCTCTCAGTTTTAAGTCGAGATTGTATGGAAAGAACTATGCGGCCAGAAATCAAAATTTGAAGCCATCACCAAGAAGGTAAGGTATGCTAATAAATCCTAAGCTTCTTCTTTAAAGTTACATGTATGTATTTTACTGGGCGAGAGGTCCGTTTGTAAAGATAATACGAAAACAGCGCGCGCACTCGATACCTCGAGTTCAAATCGAACCGCGCCGTCTACGAAACCTTTGTAATTCCGCACACGTTTACAACGAAACAGTTAAGCGATACTAAATAAACACTAGGTTTCCTTTAAAGAAATCTTTTTCTTTTTCTAGCAACTTGATATCAGTTGCAATTCGCTCCTAAGTTCATTACTGACAAATTTAGCTATCAACGGAAAATAAGTTTCTGAAAGAATTTTGTGAATGAGTTACACTTTGATTACATTTTGAATGCCGTCTAAAAAATTGTTCATAAAGTTGCAAATCATGGCGACCATTGTACTCATTTTACGATGCACGTTGCTTTCATTCATTCTATTCAACAATATATTTTATTTGAGTAAATCATGTGCAAAGTTTGAGCTTATAGAACAAAACCACTCCGGGTTAAAGTTTGGATCAGTCTACCCTAAATGGTAAAGAAGTCTTGAACGAAGCTTAGAAAATTCGAAGAACGAAATAATCAATACACTCTTTCAAATCGAGAAACGACACAGCAATAGCTACAATGTCAGAAGGCACGAAGTGTAACCACCCGAACAACTTGAGTTACCCCAAAAAACATCAAACTGAGTGAATTTGCGACGGCTACTGGATTTGAGGAATAATATTTAAAGCGCTGGGAAAAATTATGGTTTGTCACCTCAAACGAGGAAACTCGCCGACCAGTGTCGTGAATCGAATAACTTAATTACCAAAAATGCTGCCAAAACTTTGATTAATTATGTAAAATAGGTAGAGTGAATATTTCAATAAAACCTTGTTGCTATATCATTCCATAATGCAATTAAATGGAAAATAACGCTGGTGAAATATAGGTTTAGGCCTGAATGACATGATTCATTATTAATAAGATGGAGGGGTATTAACAAGTAATCTTATTTATTTCTCGTTTATAGAGAGAAAACGTCCTGCTGCCATGGATTTCAACACCTGGAACATGTTCTGGAGAATATGTTTTGGATTTTTAGCTTCTTTTATCGCTGCTGGAAATATTCTCATTATCTGCATATTTTTTAAGCTGAGACGCCGAAAGCGTTCCTCATTTCTTCTGATCGGTTTGGGCGTGGCCGATTTACTAGTTGGAGGACTGGCCATTCCTCTTTTCATAGCAGGATATGAAACCTCCTCATTAAAAACAGTGTTTGTGTTCGAACGTGTTGACATGTTTACAGGCACATCGTCCATTTATACACTTGCTGTTATTTCCTTGGAGAGAATGTTCGCAATAGGTTGGCCACTTAGTCATAGAACTCTAAACTTTCGTGTTTACATCTGTGCCATCGTCATACCGTGGATAATAGCAGTAATATTCACTATTCTCATGTATGCAGGCTCAATCCTCGACAGCGACAGTGTAATCTGCCTTCTAGTTTTGTTTCCCACTACACCTCTATTGGTTATGAGTGTAGCGTATTATGTCATTTGGAAGAAACAGAAATCACGCATGGTTAACCACAATCATGTCATTAGAGAAGTAAAACTAGCAAACACATTATTTATAATAACAGGAGCTTCTCTTTTAACATGGCTTCCATTTCAGATTCTTAATCTTTCAGCATCTTTGCATATGAATGCAAATATTCCTCATATGCAACTTATGACACTAATCGTCAAGGCTTTACAATATAGCAATTCGTTCGTAAACGTAATTATTTATCCACTAAGAATCCCCGAGTTTAAAAACTGCCTGCTTCACTTACTTCGTTGTTGTGTAGTTCCCTCTCAGGTTTTTAACTCTGGGTTATCTCCATTAACCGAGTCTGGGTCAGTTGTGTCCTTAGTAAGATTTACAAGTACGCAGCTCTTATCACCGATCTCTAGGCAGGAAAGTGCGGTTTGATTGCTTTATTGTTGAAATTCATCACTCAACAATTTTTTACTGCCTCTAAGTGACAGAATTGAGGGGAAATCATGCTTGTGATATCAGACTTGTGCTGAACGATTGGACATTTTGCTGAAACTTCCCAGGGTACACTGTGAATCCTTATCATCTTTCCGTTTGAGTATAAAATTTAGATTATTTAAAGGATCTCAAACTAGTTCAAGATTATGCCTCAAAGCCGAGGTAAATCAGGAGTCCGAAAATGGCGAATTCAGAGTCCTTCACATCAGCTGAGATGAATGATCATGAGGCTGAAGGTCACTCTTTCATGCTAATTCGAGCTCACAAAGTCAATATGATAAACCAAGGGATGAATATAATAAGAAAAGTGAAATATTTTATCCCCTTGTTGATCATTAGATTCAAGCAACGTATATAATTCGTTAGCTCGGTGACATTTTTCACTCATAAAAAAAGTTGCACTTTGGTTGTCTTGTGATTTAAAATATTATCAGACAGGAAAATTGTATTAATTATTATTAAATACAACTAATTAAACCAAAGTTAAGCATCATTTATTTGCCGCTTTCTTCTCGTTTATCATTTAGTTTCTCGTGGGTTACCAAAGAGAAACTTCACTTAGTCATCTTGTTTCTCTTCGACGCCTATCATACTTGATTTGAAATAAAGTTATACAATGTACAAAACTAAGAGTAAGAGAGAGACATTCAGTACTACAAATGTTCAGGAACCATTCCCTACAATGTTCCATTGCACACTTGTATATTATATAAGTGCTTGATGTAAATTGTTAAAGACTGTTGAACGCGGCCAAGTTGCCTCGTGTTGTAAATAACTCTTTGATCTGAGGTAATAAATATTGGATGAAAAAGTTTGCCTTACTTCCCACCTCACTTACCTCATATTTCACTTTACTACAATAAGTAAAGATGGCCAACCGAAGTTTCTGCTATCTGTAAAAAGCAGTCTGTAAAGCGGTAATTAAAACCAGGTGAACAAAAAGCCGAAGTATAAAGAGACCCGTAATCACTTCCTCTCTCCCAAAACAAGCTTCTCCTGACATCCACTGGTATGAGTTAGAGACTAAAAAGAAGAGTTTTTAAGGAATTAACTGCTCACAAGGTGTTTTCATTGATTTAAATTTACCATGTTAACTGTTGGCTAATCTTACACAAAAAAATCTGCTGGAATAACCATAATTTCCCAGATTTTCCGTTCCCTTTGCAGCTGTATGAAGGCTTTGAATTGGTTAATTATTAAAGTTAATCAATCTTTTTTTGCAACTACTACGGACCGTTGATATTTTCAAAACTAGTTGTACCTGTGAATAAAAAACAAGTGCTTCATCGAAGCTAAAATTGAAAAAAACAACTAGCAACGGCGAGTTGATGACATAACACTTGATTATCGGTTTGGATACGAAGATATCGAAAAGTACAAAATAGCAGGGTATTGGACCAGAACGAGAAAACCGAACGTAAAATAAGGAATATTATTATCCAACTGCACCAAGCAGAGTACAAACATCGCGGGAATTATACAATTATACAATACAAATATCCTGCGATATTGTACGGTTATTTGGACGGTCGGTTATTTTGTACTGTATAAAAACCTGTTCAAGCAGTCGGCTTCGCGTGTTATGTTATAAAATATCTGATCATGCTTTAAGCTGTGCAACTTGGGAAGTTTGAAGAGCACCCAGAAAGCTCAAGTTAAAACTCTTAAGCTTCTCCCGTGCTCTCCAAACTTCCCGCGTGCATCCGTTTGACGATTGGCGAAGCACGGTTCTTGTCAGTTCGTTTACCATTAGAAACGTGGAAGGTTTCCCGTGAAAACATCGTTTAAGGTTATAAGCCTGTCTCAATACTTTTTCTGCGCTTCATTCGGCCAGTAATCGCTTTAATGCCAAACGAAATCATGAAGTAATCTTTGCCCAACTTCAGGTATGAATATGCATATGAATATGCTCATTTATTTATTACTATTGTCATGACAATGATAATCATTATTATTATTATTTTAAAAATCTATATTTCAAGTGCTAAAATCTACTTACAATAGAATCTATAAATCTAAATTTTTACATATGTCGATAACTATAAAATTTTAAATAAAAATACATTACCTGTATGTTTGTTAAGAAAAAAACAAAATATATTTATTATCATCATTGTAATGATGTTGTTATAATGATAATAATATTAATAATAATAATAATATTTTTATCGTTATTAGTATTATTATCATTACCAATATTATCATCATTCTGTTATAGTTATTTTTCTTAGTAATAAGTTTTTTTTTCCGAGTTGAGGCGCAATTTGGCCGAAACGAATATCATAATCAAGTGAGGAGAATTTTGTTTTAATTGCATTATAAGCATTACTTTAAGAAATTCTGTGAGGAATTTAGATAAGCATAATAGAAAGCCTTCCATGACCCGGCTTCCTTCGGTCTCATTTACCTAGCAAAATCTTAAAAGAATACACAACTATTCGCAGCTTTTATACTTCTCATTCATAATCTGAAAGTAAAGTGTCTCACGTGACAACGTTGAATGTAAGTGGAGCTACATGAAAACTACATGAAAACTACAATACAGCAGTCGTATTAGAAGATCTCATGCTTCAAGTTAAATCAACACAAATGCAAATGGCCCAAAAATATCATCGACAATGGCTGTAAAGCAGACAAGAAAATTGGAGAAACCTGATCCATGAAATCATTTCGCTAGCCAGGAAGTCGGCAATGGCTTAATTATCTCGTGGGTAAGAACAGTTTTTACAAAATTTGAAACCAGTTTGCTACACGAATTATGGATTTTAAGCCATTCAATTGAAATTTATCGTAGCAGTTTGCATAAACGTTGATTATGACAGTCTCATTGAAATTCTTTCTCATTAAAGTAATTTTTCCGACTTGTTTTAAGCCTTAATTTTACTTTCGTTTCGTTACCATCTGCGCGGTTTATTTGGAGTCATCGCCGGCAAAACCTTCTTATCACAGGTATGATGAAATGTTCTATTGTAAATACTTCTAAGGCTATTGAATACATTCACTTGTGAATGTTGCCATAGAGGGTTAGGAAAATCTTCTACTTGAGCACACGTTCTTTGAAAATTTAGAGTTAATTGTACTTGATATTCGGCCTAAAGTTACATTTTAGAACATACTCCTTTTCCATTCAGTATGCATTTGCGACTCCTATCTAATCTTTCCAAAAACCTAATCGACACAACTCCACAGTCTCTCGAGTGAGAAACCTTCTTCACTTATTCTCTGAAATTAATATTCCTATTTCGATAATTTAGATGATTGCTTTTGCGAAGTATTTCGAACAATACGAGAAATGTTCACTCGTTTTATGCGAAATTTATTACTCCACCATTATTTCATTTTCTTGTATTTTTACCTTCAGTTTTCGAAACACCTTACATGCACAGCCTTGTTTGAGCATCGAATCAATCCCATAATACCTGTGCGAAAAAAGAAAACAACCCAATCGAAACTCTATAAATGTTAGCTACGATCGTCAAAAATCTCCTTTGCTTTAAAGTTATTTACGTGAAAATTCAAACCGATAAAAAAGGGAGAAGATTTGGATCGTTCATGGCGGCCATTTTCAGGCTCCGTCTTTTGTGCGTGTATTTCCCTATTCTGCAAGGTGAAAACGAGGCACATGTTATGGTAAAATAGCGCAATAATGGAGTGTTCTAAAACAAGTATGTAGAGTTGAATAAGTCTTCGGGTTCGCCCAAGCTCAAGACAGTCAGCCGAAAGCAAGCATCTTAAAGACATTGGTATAAAGTCTGAATGACACTCCCTGCATGGGTTAGCTTTACTTTCTACTTGGAAAATAAATTTTGCATAACATAGCAATTAAATGAAATTCATAGTATTTTGCCTTGTGGATGAAATCGAAGTAAAAAAAAATTTTCCGGTGAGCTTCAATTGGAAAAAATTGCAGAAAGGAAGTCTCAATAGATTCAGGCCTCAACTGGAATCAAGAGAAACAAGTTTCTTCCAAATATTAGGGCAGTACTACCAACTGAGCTACGAAGCCATACGTTGGCAGCGAAGCAAAATTTAACATGATAAATATTAAAAAAAAAAAAGAATAAAAATTCACGTAACATAGTTGAAATCTTCCTTTGTTTTGACTCTCCAGCATCATCATATAGGGAAACAGGACCCCATTGCCATGGATTTCAAAGCTTGGAATATGTTCTGGAGATTATGTTTTGGATTCTTAGCAACTTTTTCATTACGGGAAATATTCTTATCATCTGGATTTTTCTTAACCTGAGACGCAGAAAGCGTTCCACATTTCTTCTGATCGGTTTGGGCGTGGCTGATTTACTGGTGGGAAGACTGGCCATTCCTCTTTTCATAGCGGCATTTAAATTAGCTTCATTAACAGCATGGCTTGTTTTCAACCTTGTTGACGTGTTTACAAGTACATCGTCCATTTATGCACTTGCTGTCATTTCCGTGGAGAGAATGTTCGCCATCGGTTGGCCTCTTCGTCATAGAACTGCAAACTTTCGTGTTTATATCTATGCCATTTCCATACCGTGGATCATAGCAGCAATATTCACTGTCTTCACTGATGCAAACTTCAACTTCATTACAAGTGACAGCGTAATCTACCTTCTAGTTTTGTTTCCTGCAACACCTCTATTAGTTATGTGTGTAGCGTATTATGTTATTTGGAGGAAACAAAAATCACCAATATGTAACCATAACAATATCATCAGAGAGACCAAATTAGCAAACACATTATTTTTGATAACAGGAGCTTCCGTTTTCACCTGGCTTCCATTCCAGATTTTTAATATGTTGGTAAATTTGCATGTTTTTCCATCTTTTTCTTATCTGCAACTGACAGCATTCATCGTCAGGGTTTTACACTACAGCAATTCGTTTGTGAATGTAATTATTTATCCACTGAGAATCTCAAAGTTTAAAAACTACCTGGTTCACTTACTTCGCTC